GTTAGCTACACCAAATTTGGGTTATGAAAAATGTTGATGTGATATTTCTTTTTATATTTCGAGGACACTTGGGCGCGATATAAAAAGATAAACCCAAATTTAAAAAGAAATAAAGCCAAAAATTAAGGGGAAAAAAGAGATAATTTTCTCAGGACGAAATTTTTAAAATATATATATGCAAGAAAACTTGGTTTGGCTATGAAAATAGATTAGCGGTGTGAGGTTGATTAAGTCGCTAACTAAGGAGATTTGTTGTCGTGTGGCCTTTTGCGCAAAGGAGACTTGTTGTGGGCCGGCCTTTATTTTTTATTTTATTTTATTGGGGGTGACCTCTTTACTTTGTTGAACTTTACGCAAAAGAGAGTTTAAAAGTAAGAAAACATGAAGAATCAATAGACTTGCTTTTCAGAAGCCAACGAGAAACTTCTCGCGTTCAAATTGAATTAGTTGCAAGACAATTGTCGTGTCTAACAAGGCTGTTGTTTTTTGACTAAGAAAACCGTGTAACGTTGATAGAATCACATTAGCGCGTAATCTCCATGACATTCATTAAGAATGCTGAAAATAGAAACTCTCTTTTTGCACAAAATAAATATAAATTAAATAGGACTTATGTATGTTCCTTTTGGCACGTAGATATTACCTTAATCGAACGGCTATTTTCTTATTCTCAAAAGATATTTAAAATCCTAATCAATACATTCTGAGAAACTTTTTAATATTTACCACTCGAAACTGTACTAATATATTGACTATCCGCTTCAAAGATAGTTAGAGCGAGGGCAGTTAGAGCGAGGGCATATTACCCTTTTTGAGTCTTGAGCATCTCTTTGGTGCTTTGAGGCATATGGTGCCCCGAGTGATAAATCCATTTCAAATGTGATGGTTCTTCTTGTTGGCTTTATAGTGATTTACCAACAATAGAAAGATGTTCATCACTAGGAACATCGTGCCCGTAACACGGTGGACAACCAACCGAATCTCGGTAGTTCAATCCGAATACCGGGTAAATAATCAATGTGATTTGGTGGGCAACTCAAGTCAATCCAGAGTCAACCATTTCAATGGTTACAATCAAGCAAGCTCTGCTTCACAAAGCCATGTCGGACCCAACAAATCTTTCAGATTCATAATCTTTAAAAGAATGTTGCTTGATTTATAATTGCACTTTTTAGGCTCTTAAATCTTGGAGTCTACGGACAGTGCAAAACCAAAACTACCTACCCATACCATCCGCGGATTATTGCATCATGATTTTAATCTATTCAAGTGTCGAAAACATATAAGAAATCATTGCAGAAAAAGAGAGTTTTTTTCCCTTCTCAATATTTATTTCTACCCAAAAAACACAAATCAGTGGATTTATCTAACAAGCAACGAAATTGTTGCTCCATTCAGTTTTTCAACTTCAAGAACTTGCTTGCACTAGCAAAGAACATGCAATTCTATGAAGCACATGATGACGCGAATGATTGGTAGACATCCTTTGATCCAACAAGACCGCAACAAAGAGAGGAGTGGACAACACCGGGACATGAATTGTTTTGTAGCCTCTGGAATTTTCTGTTCTATTGCCTTAGAACGGTAAATTGTTCTTTTCCTGTTAAAATTATGTTTTGAATATGAGCTCGCAGCGAAAATCTGAATTTTGAAAATTAATAAAACAAAATAAAAAGGAAATCTACTGCGCGGAGGAAATACACGGACATCAATTTTATCAACATGCGTTGGAGTCTTGGGCGTGAAACAGGAAAGTCCAACTTGGACTCTGTTGGGAATATACGGAAATCAATTTCCGCGTGGGCCCTGGCTTTCTTATTTCCATGAATAAGTCCAAAAGCATTTGTTGGACTTTGACCGTGGAAAGAGGGCTTCTGTGGATTTGCTGATTGGTCAGAGAAAAGAAAGAAATGAAAAGACGAGGATTATCTTTCCTTGATGAAGTCGGCAAAGAAGAAGGGGCTCCCCGTTATACGCATACAGATATTTGGATAGAGGAGTCCTGATACGCCGGTGTTGATGAAAGGCGGCATGGTCTTCGTGCAGTCAATGAAACCTTGAAGCTACGCCTGTGTACGTGAGGTCTTCGAAGTGCCGTTTTTTTCACGCGAGCGCTTGGCATTGATTTCGTTCTTGCAATTACATCAATTATTTAGTGTTCAAGCCGAATAAATCTTGTGATAAGATTTATGTATAATTTTTTTTGAGAGATTATTTCGTGAGGAATTGTGGAGCTAGATACTGCGTGAGTTACTGGGTGTAATTGAAACTTGAGAAACACTTAGACTATTTGAGTGACTCTAGTGTGGTTGTAATTTCCGTTATATGGTGGAATTCCGTACTACTCTCCCCGTGGATGTAGGTCACTATGACTGATGTCCGATTTATTTTCTTATTTCGTCTTATTTTATTGTTTGATCGCTTGGTTTCCGCAATATTTCCAAAGCCAATGCGTGACAAGGAAACCATCGCCAGTCACACCCTCTTAAGTGAACACTTCAAAAGTACTAATCTCCTCATCATTAGAATCGTATTGAAACAAAGGGGAATGTGTGCAGATACTGGGAATAAATAACATTTGCTCTCTTTTCCCCCGAATTCTGACGATATTTTGAACAGGTAAAGTATAAACTTAACATTTTATGATTTGTGTTTAATGATGCAGCATTGTTACAGAAGATATTTTGGAGACATGTATCAGCTTTTACTTTTGGGTACCCCAAATTGGTACACTTATGATAAATTTGCTTCAAATTATTTTTTTAACCACCAAAAACTCCAAACTGGTACAGCTGTGATAAATTTACCCTCGGTTTATTTCCGTTAAATTTTACTATCAAATTGCTTTGTTAAATGACACGTGGCAGTTGACAAATGTACCGGTTTTATGTTTTAACCTCCGTTTGTCCCAGGCATACTAGTTTGTGATTTTTTTTTCTTGTATTAAGCTAATTTAATGGAAACTAACGGAGAGTAAATTTATCACAAATATACTAATTTGGGATTTTTGATAATTCAAAAATTAATTTTGGATAATTTTATTATAAATGTACTAATTTAAAATTTTTTATGATTAAAAAATTAATTTAAAATAAATTTATCACGTATATATCAGTTTAGAATTTTTCGTAACATTAATCCTCTAGTTTTCCTCTTGCCACAACGGATGAAGCAGATGTGGTTCGGCTATCGAAATCCCGGGGTGGATTGCGTTTCTTTGACGAGGCAAATTGACTTCTTTAACCCTCACCCTTTTGACCATGACCACCACCACTGTGGACTCCGAGGATGTTTTGCTACTTCTCTTCCGTAATTGGACCACGTGGCCACGCAAATGGAGAAGTGCAGAGGATATTGAAAAATGACGAGGACAGAACTCATCACGTACGTGGTTCCCGTGAACCGATAACGTTTTTCCTCAAAGCTCTTCCCATCTAATAAATAAAGGCCGTGTTTTTTTATTTATTTATTAATAAGCAATAATTCACATGAGCTCCCCATAAGATTTATGTTAAACATCAAATATCGCGTAGGACTTGAATAAAAAAAAAAAGACCACGTGGCATTTCCTTCTCTTAAAACTTACTAACTGAGCAGAAGGACTCAAGTGCATCAAAGTTGCAAGTTTTAAGTTAATTGGACGAAATGAAAGTTGTAGAACTCAAGTTCATTATGGCGACAAGTTTGACGACTTGCCCCGTAATTGTTCCTTTTTCTTTTGATCTTTTGGATTAGAGCTAACGTCACCATGAATATCGTATCATACTCCCATCAATATTTTCTCAGAAATGGATCAATTTTCGGTCAAAGTAAATCAATCGCAAGAAAACAAAAATTTGTTGCAATTGGTGAATAAAGAAATTCGAATTCCGGCGAGCCAAATGCCGACTGACTTCTAAATGCAATAACCACAACTAAAAACTGCTCTGCGATCTGAGAGTCAATCGAGGAATAAAGAGTGATTCACACCGGAGCAAAGAGGACACTCCCAATTATATGCGAGGTAAAACGAAGACATGACCGAGCAAAAAACATTGAAAAAACATAAAAACAAATTGATGATCAGTATGCGAATCGGGTTCTGAGTTTCGGAATACCCATCCAAATAGATTCCGTCCCGTCTCAAGTTCAATAGGGTTTTACACAGCCCTGAAAACCGGCTCCGAAACCTGCATCATGCGATCGATTCAATCGGGGCCGCATTCAGAAGTTATGCATCGCACATCAAGGGTCCAAGCTTAAGAAAAATGTGTCATATGAACCTACACATACGTTTCATCAACCATTACAGGTCCAAGCTTAAGAAAAGTTATGTGGACTACATATAGACACGGTTTTCTTAGTGATCAAGATGTGTTTAGTTATGTGATATATCAAATTATAGTGAAGTCAAAAGTAATCCCCTCTAAATTCTGAGTCAAATGAAGTTTTTGTTAATCAGAATGGGAGATGAAAAAGTTTATCAAGTTAAACTAATTAAACATGGCCTAATATCAAAAGAAACAAAGAAAACTTCATAGAATTTGGGGAACACTCAACAGAATTACTTGTCAGTAAATTTCATGTTTTTTAAAAACGGAATGTAAGTTCTTTCGAACATAAACTTCGCAGAACTGTTTCATGTAAGACCTTCTTTTCCATTTCGATGAAAGTTGTTTCTCGCGTAAACATATGATGTATACTTTGTAAAATGTATACATGATTATTTTCTCTAAAGAAGAGTTCATAAGCCAAAATTAGCAGTTCTAGATATCGAGAAATCATATGCTGGTGGTAGCACGTTAAGTAGCAAGATCGCTTGTTAACATTAGCTTTCAATTGGCATTACTCTCAATCATGTAACGAGGGAGGAACATTCTCAAAGTCCGTTGCCATCCCCGATTGTCCTTGCTTTCTTACCAATTTGTTTATCCTTCTGAAGGAGGATGCAAGAGAGTAATTTATGAGAGTAAAACTATATGAAATACAATAACACAACATTAACCTAAGAGCTAGAAAAGGAAAAATTTGAAAGTAATCACTGTCGACCTAAACTAGCCTAAGTCCCTCCCAACATAATACTAAATTGTGGGGACATATAACAAAATACACGATGCTTTTCCAATCAAACTATGCACGAGTCTCTAAACATCATCGCTACCTCCGAAAGGAAAATTAGCATAACTTATCTGACCATTTGATGAAGTTGAGAATGTTTCTAGTTCCATCTCGGATTTGTCATTGTTGCATGGCTCATCTGGTGGGTAAATAAGCGGTTTTGGAGGCATTTGAAGTTTACCAATATCTCCTTCAAGCATTTCTAAGACTTTGCTCATTGGAGGCCGATGGTCAGGGTTTAATTGTATACACCAAAGTGCAACTATTATCATCTTTTTCGTCACCTTCCTTTCCTCTTCTACAACTTCTTCCAATTCAACACTTTCTCCTTCATTGACTTGGTCATACACCCACAAGGGAAAATAAATTTGGCTTGAGTGTTCAGCATTTGCATTTATATTCTTCCTTCTACCTGCCATTTCCATGAGCAACATCCCAAAGCTATAGACATCCGCTTTATAAGATACACCGCCAATATTTTTGTAGAACAACTCAGGCGCCATATATCCCAAGGTTCCTCTTGCTGCAGTCAATGAGACTATGCTATGATCAGTAGGATAAAGTCTCGCTAGTCCAAAGTCAGAAACTTTCGGAGTGAAATGCTGGTCTAAAAGAATGTTGTGAGGCTTGATATCAAAGTGTAATATTTGCATGTCACACCCACGATGTAAGTATTCAATCCCCCTCGCCACCCCAAGAGCGATCTCATATATTCCCCTATAACCGAGAAACTTAACACCTTCATCAGTGAAAATGTGCTTATCCAAAGACCCATTTGACATGAGATCATACACGAGAGCTTGTTTCGAGCCTTCAAAGCAAAAACCAACAAGTTGCACTACATTAACATGGTGAATTCTTCCAATAGTAGCAACTTCACTGATAAAATCTTGGCCATGAGCCTTGGATTGCTTTAAAATCTTGATGGCTACTTCATTGCCGCTTCTAAGCGTTCCTTTGTACACATAACCATAACCTCCTTCACCCAATTTGTGCCTAAAATTCCTGGTGATCTTCTTAATATTCGAATAGGAGTATCTTATGGGCAAAAAGTTGTTATGAGCTTGCAAAAATTCTTCGACATTCTTGTCCATTGCTAAGTGCCTTCTTCTGCACTTGTAGATAAGAAATATCGCAACAACTGGCATCCCGATTACGAATTTCACTACGCAAAATTGCACTGAGGAAAATTTTGATAGGTTAGAATAAGTATTTTTTTTAATTACTTTAAGAACAAACCATTGCGGCTCACCTAGTAGTACTCCAAACTCTATAGTTGTCAGAAAGGCGAGTTCATCTAGGAATCCTGCGGAAGGAACGACTGATGTGAAAAGGAATTGAAGGAAAAGAAGTTTGGAAAACAAAACTCACGAGGAAACAGAGTCGTAGCAATAGCAAGCTACTTTGTATAAATGGAATTGTGTCCAAAAGAATATGAGAAGGTGGATGCGTGCATTTGTAAATAAATGGAAATAATAGACTATACGAGATAACTCCTTTTGCTTTGTTAGTGGTCAACAAAATATAGAGAAACGGTGATTTCCATATTTAATTAAAGTGTTCCTCCTATCTATACATGAATATAATTAAGGAATTTGCTAATGAGTGTCTCTTGAATTATTAGTTGAGTGACTAATTAACGAACTAATTAAGAATATAAGAAAAATCTGAACTCTATACCAACGAAAAACTAGTTATGTGGCTGCTCCTTTTTTTTACATTTACATTGGGAGTTCTGAGCCTTCCACAGAAAAAAATTATAATCTAGGCAGATGTATATGTTCAACTGAAATTGGATCTATGGGGGGTAACTTTTACTGTCACTTTGTGCATTTTTTTTTTTTGGAATCTGTAACATGTACACGAAGATCCAGAAACCTTTCAAATACACAAGTATTGGCGAGCACTAACATGTGTATTTTGCATAATTTTCTTGGATTTCAGATATTCCTTTAATTTTCCAGTTTTGATGAGAAAGTAGCAATTGAAAGAATGTACAGAATCATGCAATATTGCGGTAAAATTTCTTTGCCAACCGATGCTTACCGCCCTCGTAGTCGAAGAAGTAGGAACTGCAAACCTGACGTCTGTAGATGCTGTCGAAATCAAAGGAGCAAAAGAAACCTGACTTCCATGTAGTTGAATAAAAGTCGAGAACAAATCCATCGGCCATGATGTTATGGATACGCTCGTAGTTGTAGGAGTTACTATTAATCTGCTTTTCACCCCCAAAATAATATGATACCCACGTCCACCCGTGAATGGTGCAAACATCCCTAACATCTGATGCTATTGGATTGGGCAAAGCATACAAGTTCCAATACAATGATGTGTTGGAAGAGTAAGACCCCTCAATGCATGGACTGGTAGAGATGTAGAATGAAGAATTTATCGGCTTTGAGCAATTCACAATAACCAACGTACTTGGGCTGTTACTTTGGCTCCCCTTGTAGTATGAATTGCTTGAATGCCGAGTGTACGTGTCCCAATTCCCCAACAATGAATGATGGGGGAGAGACGAGAAGTTATCCTTTTGCAGTCCGTCATCGACTAATCTGATTTGTTTGGCAGTATAATTGATAAACTGCACATAGTATCGGCCACCAAGCAAATATACAACAGTGTGACTATCTTCACAAGCCAGGTCATATATGGAGACACCCCGTCTGTTCGGGTTACTCTTCAATCGAAACGGGTCGCTTATATTATGAATGTCACCACAGGATGAAACGCTCCGCCGATTACTTGGCTCAACATTACTAGTCATCGCTAGAAACAACACAAGAGTGAGTAGCAACACTTGACAGATATTCATGGAGCCGAGAGCACTCATCATGCCTCTGTTTGTGTTTGGGCAAAGAGAAATTGGTAAAGAATTGCTGGGTGGGTGGGGAGGAGGCGCAATGTACAAAAGGATTAGAAGAGATTGGACAATCCTTGCTTGCTTGGAGACTTGGGAGTCGCCTCGTCTTATATAGAAAAGCCCATGTCAGTCAACGGAAAAAATGGCTGGAAAGTCAAGAAATTAAAGGAGGTGGACCCAAAACGAGGTTCCAATTATTAGTGTTGTGTTGGTCTTTCTTCTCCGCGTTTCTTCCACTCTCTCCGCATCCCATCGACGAAGAAATCCATCTCTCTCCCTCCTCAAAAAAATATTCAGTGATTTGCACGCGTCACGTGAACGGCTGACAGGACACGCATATTGTACTCTCATCCATTAATAAATGGACACATAGCTGCTGATGTGTATTAAAAAAAATGTGGAATTTCTTCTTTTTCTTCCTTCTTCAACAATGCACTCCTTCATCTGGGTTTCCATGGACGGCGGCGGCCGGTATGGACGGCCGCTCATCCACTGGCGACGGCGGCAGGACTTCTCATCACATATCTGAAGACGCACAGGAGGGGTGGCCATGGACGGTGGCTCGTCCAGAAATCGCGCAGAGGTCGGCCATGGACGAGCGTTTTGTCTTCCTCTGTTTATCCACGAACGAACTCCAGATCTGGAGCAATAGGTGGCCGAACTTTAAAACTAGGGCCAAATGACTCAAGGCACCATCCATGGCCGCGAGAGAACACCAGATCTGAAGCCATGACTTGAGCAGGTTGGGTGGCCATGGACGGTGGCTCGTCCATAAATCGCGCGGAGGTCGGCCATGGACGAGCGCTTCTTCTTCCTCTGTTCATTCACCAACGAAATCCAAATCTGGAGCAGTAGGCATCTTGAAACACAAATCAAGAAAACCCCACGCGGTTCACAGGACTTCATTCCTAGAACTTCATCCTGTCGGTAGGGTCAAATGACTCGAGCCACCGTCCATGGCCGCGAGGTTTTTGAAAGAACGCCAGATTTGGCCGCGGAGGTCGTCGCTCAGAGTTGTGGACGAGAGGCCGTCCATGGCCGACCGCTACTCTGCATCTCCATATCTGTGGACGAGCGCTCGCGGCCAAGACTTAGCCTCCGGGACAACGGAGAGGGTGGACGCGGAGGTTGGCCTGGATGCGGTGATCGACTGTCGCTCAACAGCCAGATCTGGTTTGCTGCTTAACAGCCTTCAGCTCAAGTCTTGGCTCGTCCATGGTTGCCGGCGACAAGCTCAACAACTTTGCCGCGGACGGTGGCGGCCACGGTGGGGCGATGGCTCAAGGATGGTAGTGGCGGCGGCGGCGGCGGCTTGGCGGTGGAGGTAGCCAAGCCCAGCGGAGCGGAGGTTGAAGGAGTTCTGAAGAAGGAATGAAAAAAAGAAATTCCACTTCAATTTTTTTAATACACATCAGGAGCCATGTATTCATTTGTTAGTGGATGAGAGTAAAACTATGCACGCCACGTTACCCGTTGACGTGGCACGTGCAAATCACTGAATATTTCCTCCCTCCTCCCCATCTCTTCTTTCTGATAGACCATCTTTTCTTCTGAGTTTCTTCTTCGTTCTTTCCTCCTCCCTTCTTCTACTCCATCTTCTTTCTTCACCGCCCCACGTTCATAGTAAAGAATTGCTGGGTGGGTGTGGAGGAGGCGCAATATAAAAAGATATGAAGAGATTGGACGATCCTTATTTGCTTGGAGACTTGGGAGTCGCCTCGTCCTGTATAGAAAAGCCCAAGTCAGTCAACGGAGCAAAACGGATGCAAGTCAAGAAATTAAAGGAGCTGGACCCAAACTGAGAATCCATTATTAGTGCCGTGTTGATCTTTTCTTCCCCTCTCTCCAATTGGTCGTTGGGTCCACATCCCCTCAACAAAGAAATCCGTCTCTCTCCCTCCTCCCCATCTCTTCTTTCTGGCAGACCATCTTTTCTTCTTAGTTTCTTCTTCGTTCTTTCCTCCTCCCTTCTTCTACTCCATCTTCTTTCTTCACCGCCCCACGTTCATAGTAAAGAATTGCTAAAGAATTGCTGGGTGGGTGTGGAGGAGGCGCAATATAAAAAGATATGAAGAGATTGGACGATCCTTATTTGCTTGGAGACTTGGGAATCGCCTCGTCCTGTATAGAAAAGCCCTAGTGAGTCAACGGAACAAACTTTGCAAAGTCAAGAAATTAAAGGAGGTGGACCCAAACTGAGGTTCCATGATTAGTGTCGTGTTGATCTTTCTTCCCCTCTCTCCACTTGATCGGTTGGTCCACATCCCGTCGACAAAGAAATCCATCTCTCTCCCTCCCTCCCCGTCACTTCTTCCTGATACACCATCTTCTTCTTAGTTTCTTCTTCGTTCTTTCTTCCTCCCTTCTTCTCCATCTTCTTTCTTCATCGCCCCACGGTCATAGTAAAATTTGATGTAAAGTTCTGAGAAAGAATATCAAAAATTAAAATCTAGAATAACGAATGAGGCAAAGTACATAGGTGTGGAATTGAGAGGAAAAATCATGTCCCTCTCAGCCTGAAGCTCAGTTTTGCGATTGACCGGGGCGGATCGGCGGGCAATTACTTTGTCAGGGTCTACTGCTTGAAGATATTGAATTCGAGAATAATCATCTGGTTCGTCTGTCTATATAGATTTTGTTGCCGCTTCGGAGTTTGACTTGATTTTGCGGTTCTGGTCACAAATTTGGAGTAGAGATGTTTGCCGAGGGGTCTGCTTAGTGATAAAAAAGGGTCCTCTGGCATTCCAGACATTTTGATACGGCAAAATGTAAGGTCTCTTTAAAGCAAATTGTAAAGAGATGGAACGGATGATCCTTGTTTGATTGGAGACTTGGAGTCGCCTTGCACCGTAGAAAAGTCCAAGTCAGTCAACGTAATAAATGGCTGAAGTAGAGAAAATTGAAAGATCACCTGCAGTTACAGCGGATCGATGACATTTACACCCATTGAAAATTCAAAAGATCTCGATTCACATATGATCTCTCTTTGTCCTCTTATCGCCACGTTTCTTCCCCTCTCTCCACTTGATTGTTGGGTCCGCATCGCATCAACAGCCAAATCCATCCCTCCCCCTCTCTCCCCATGCTTCCTTCTGATACACCATTTTCTTCTTCTTCTTTTTTTGTGGTCTAGAAACATAAAGTATTATTATTAATAACTTAAGAAACAAAGCCCGTAGCAGGGACATTTAAACATAGTTGGTCCAAAAAAGTTCCGGGGGCATTGGCCATCCAATTCGAAGGGAGAGAATTCGTGTATTGGGCTTTGACAATCCAATCCACAGCTCTATTTTGCTCCCTATTACAAAACTCAACTTTAATATCCGAAAAGCAAGACAAAAGATGAGAAGCTTCGATGATTAGTGCTCGCTCTTCCCACCCTTGCTGATCAGCTGACTTCAAAGAGGAGATTAAACTCAAGCAGTCGGAGTTGAGTTCCAGCTTAAAACTTCTTCGAGGAGAGAGAAAGTGCAATGCGTGGACAAGAGCTAAAGTTTCCGCCTGATATGCCGATGCAACCCTCACCGATCTAGCAAATCCATCAATTAGGGACCCGGTAGTATTGCGCACAATGCAGGCTACAGCGCCTTCGTTTGAGCCGGGAGAGTAAGCTCCATCAATATTTACTTTTAAAGCGTCCTTCGTCGGTGGTTTCCATGCTTGATCCGTCGTACTGGGAGCTCGGGGGTTGTCGCATTGATTCCTTATTAAATTTGCCCTGTCATTCCATTTTGCATAATTTTCAAGCAGAGTTTCGGCAGATTAGACAGTATTAGACGATTCCGGTCGGAGAGCTCAAAATACGGTGTTGTTTCGTGTCTTCTAGATAAGCCATAGGATTCCTGAGACCAGTTCAAATTTCGGTGAATTTCCTTGATTTCTTACAAAACTCAACAGCCACTCTTCTACACTGGTCAAACCTTGGCTTTGAATATTGATTTGCAGGGCTGGGTTCTCCCAAATAGGCTTCGTTCAAGGGCAAAGCAAAAACAATTACTTCTTCGTTTTTTTTGGAAAATTATTAAAAAAATCGTAAACCTACTATAATTATATCAATTCAGTTTTAAATTTTTCAATTTTGCTAACTTAGTTCTAAACATTTTGACAATTTGCAAATTCAGTCCATCCAGTCAATTTTGACCAAAAATCGCTGACCGGAACACTAGTCGTCGTATGAGGCACCACCGGCACTAGCGTGAACAATTTTTATAATTTTTTAAAAATTTATGAATATTGTTTTTTTTTTTGTGTTTTCATTGTTACTAGCAAGGTCGGCCTCGCTAGGGCTGGGCTAGCAAGGCTCACCTTCACTAGATCTGGGGAGGGTCGAGTCTCATCGATCATGGGCGAGGACGAGAGATTCATGGGATTCCAGGTGAGGCTGAGTTCTTCGTCATTGAAATCAAAGCAGCCAGTGCTCCGATCGTCGTCAATTTCGTGGTCAGGGAGTAATCTTCATAGAAAGAAGGTCGTCACGGATCGAATTGAAGCTGTTCCCAAGAGAGGGGCTGCTCTAGGGTTTTGCATCAATTTGCAGAAGGTGTGAGCGGACTCAAAGTTTGCCCTTTTTGCATTTAACTTCTTGTTTGGTATCTGGGTTACTTTTCTGCAATGGTGATTGTTTGCTAGTGGTTGGGAGAGGCACAACCTCGCCAAATCCAGCGAGGTCGTCACAATGAAAATGGGAAGATAGAGAGCAGAAGTTGCAATGAACTTTCCTCTGTGGTAGCCTTTCTTCACGGGCGATAATATGCACCACCTTCTGGTCGAATTGGTGACGCAATTTCGAAGAGTAGGAATGGGGCTTCCCTATCATCATCTGAATTCTGATGCAGTGTGGCTTCGAGTTGCAATTTTGCTCATGAATCACGACAGTGAGAAAAGGAGAAAGTGTTGTTATTCAAAAGTGAATCTGAATGCTTGCTGAATTTCGAGTCCCTGAAGCTCTTCGACATCAGAGCGTGTGAAGTAGAAGCAGCTAAGAGTGGCCTCAGCTGCAGGAGGGATCGCAGGTCGCGCATTTGCACAGTTTTTGGCTCCTAGTTTGAGGCATCATGCCGCCGAGCTTAGTTGGACTTGAGGTTGCTCGGCCATGAATTAAGATTCCTAGTATGTTGGAGACATGGATGCTCATTGAGTTTGCAGAAGCTGGATTAGCTCGTCTGGTCATGATGGCAATGTGATGATTGATTGTGGGACAAAGTTTCTTGTCGTACATGATCCTTTTTTGTGTTGTTTTCGATGGCTTTGTTTTAGTCTGAATGAGAATTCTGAAATCTAATTTCTTGTACTGCAGAAGATCTCCGCATAAATTGCGCAAATTTTTTTCTTTCTTTTCTTTTTGTCGGAAAAGCAGCACTGTCAATCATAAAGAAGAAGTTTGTGAACACAATCAAGCTTTAGAAAATCGGCCTAATTCCAAAACAAAAAGACCAAATTTCACTTAAATCCCAAATATGTCTTGAACAATTTGAAAATTTCACATCACGGGGGCCAGATTTGGGGTTTGAGTAAAATTTTGTGCTTTTTATTGAGACAAAAAAAGAGTTCGGGGCATATGATCACTTGGGAGATTACTGCAGTTATCACCGAAGCCCAATCCCTTCTTCGGGCTTCTCCTCATCTTAAACTGGGCCCTGGCCCATATTAACAAAGAGCCCAATAGAGTTGTAGATCGGGTGATCAAAGCCCAAGGAGCAAATAGCTTGCCCGCGAAACTGGATCTACTACCGTCCCTTGGCCCAATGAGAACTCCTTTGTTCTGAAATTGCGCAAATATAAGTTATTGGTTTTCTGGCCGAAAAAAAAAACTTAATTATTTTCATTTGATCAGTTTTTGATTTTGGGCGCAGCCCATTATAAAAAACACACACAAATCATCATGCAGGGAATTTTGGCTGCGAATTTAGTCCTAAACTTTAAATTCGTTCTGTCCTAAACCATTTGACAATTTGTCAATGTAATCCTTCCAGCAAATTTTGGCCAGAAATTATTGATGTAGACGCCGGCTGCCCCACGTGGCATGGCCAACATTGACGTGAGCAATTTGTGCAATTTTTTCTTTTCTTTTTTTTTTCATTTTTCTTCTTTTTTTCTTCTTTTAAAAGGAAATTTTATAAAAATGCTATTTTTGGCCAATTTTGGTCGAAATGACTATATTGGCAAATCGTTAAATAATTTGGGACTAAATTGGCCAAATTGAAAAGGTTTAAGACTAAATTGGCATCCGTACAATAAGTTTAGATCTTTTTTGATAATTTTCCCGATATAAATTTGATTGCAGTCAATTGAAAAAGGCAAAATAACACTATCCCCAACATATCTAACTAAAGCAATTCTAATTACATGATTAATGCTCAAGAAACTTGAGTGCGAAGTTGTTTTTTTATATATATTTATTCATCATTAATAACTCTAGAAATCCAAGTAATTTATATATTAGTTATATTACAACATCAATGCCCTATGCTACATTTGATCCTTTTGTCTA